CTTTGATTTAGATCCCCCTCCAACCACTCATCTATCCAGTCATTTGGCGAGAGTAACGGAAAGGAAGGAAAATGTTTCCGCACAAAGACACGCACCTGCTGATATCTGAAATAATGCGAACTGGGGATATTATACTCATTTACCAGCTGCTCGAAGGACATGAACACACCATCTCTAAAAAGATCCTTCACCCGTTTCAGACCATTCCTGAACCATAATTTAAATGCTGTATCCATGAGTGAGGGTGGGAAAAGTGCYTTGGCTGAAATTGGGAGAGAGGGCATAGCCTGTCTATGTTTGAAGTGGGTCCTGAATTGGGACCATATTCGAAGTGAGCCACTCACAATAGGATTATTTGTGAGGCGCTGTTTACTGAGTGGCAATGGCGCACATAATAAAGAGGGTAGGGACACCGAATGAGCGGAATGTTGTTCCATTTCAACCCATACAGGTCCACCCCCCTCATAAGACGCAGAGACCCAGTATATTAGTTTATAAATATTAGCTGCCCAGTAATACTGTAAAAAATTTGGTAGTGCTAAACCTCCAGCTTCCTTCTGTTTCTCAAGATGTGCCCTCTTTATTCGTGGGATGGTTTTATTCCAGATAAAGGTGGAAATAGATTTATCTAGCTCTCTGAAAAAGGACTTTGGGATAAAAACAYGTATTGTATTAAACAAGAATAAGAACCTGGGCATAAWTGTCATCTTGACAGAATTAATCCTTCCAGCAAGCGATATAGGCAGCGCTGACCAACGGATAAGGTCCTGTTTGGCCCTCTCCAGGGCTGGTTTAAAGTTATGCTTGAATAAATCACTGTATTTACGGGTTACTGATACACCAAGATAGGTAAAAGTGTCACGAGTTTCTTTTAGTGAATATGCCTCAAAAGACATCTGTCGAGCCTGGTCGCTAATAGGGAAGAGCAAACTCTTAGTGAGGTTGATTCTATAGCCCGAAATCTCTCCAAAGCTAGAGATAATTTCTAATGCCTTAGGAATAGAGGTGCAAGGATCGGACAGGTAAAGTATCAGGTCATCAGCATATAGAGACAGTTTGTGAGTTTGACCCCCCCTAACAACACCCACGAGCTCCTCGGCARTCCTAAGTGCAACCGCCAGTGGTTCAATGGCYAGGTCAAACAGAAYTGGGCTCAATGGACAGCCCTGTCTTGTCCCCCTACATATAGGAAAATATTCAGAGATTATTTTATTAGTACGGACGGAGGCCTGCGGTGTAGCATACAGGATCTTTATCCATGAACAAAAGGCCGGTCCAAAACCGAACCTCTCCAGAGTTGCAAAAAGATACTCATACTCAATCCGGTCAAATGCTTTGTGAGCATCGAGGGATAGCAAAACCTCTGCTGTAAGTGGAGTTTCTGGGGAATAAAGAATATTGAAAAGCCTTCGTATGTTGCTAAAAAGCTGCRGCCCCTTAATAAAGCCAGTCTGATCTGAATGTATCACTGTATGCATAACAGACTCCAATCTACTAGCCAGAACCTTGGTCAAGATTTTGTAGTCGCAGCAGAGTAAACTCACAGGCCGAAATGACTCACATTTCAGCGGGTCCTTTCCTTTCTTAAGAAGGACTGAAATGGTGGCTTGGGTCATTGTAGGAGGGAGAGTCTCACGCTCCAATGTCTCGGTATATACATTTTTTAAAAGAGGACTTAGTTTGAATGAYAATTTTTTGAAGAATTCAATAGGGAAGCCATCCGGTCCCGGAGCCTTACCGCTCTTCATCTTTTTAATTGCCCGATCAATTTCAGCTGCTGAAATGTCGCTATCAAGGTCTGCCCTGTCCTGTCGGCCTACAGTTGGAATCTCAAGACCAGCGAAAAACCGAGCTAACTTAGTGCTATCACAATCTTCGGTGGCATAGAGGTCCTCATAAAAATTTTTGAATTGTTTATTTATGRTTTTTTGATCTGTGGTTATCCCTTCTGGAGTGTTAATCTCTGCTATAAATCCAGCCTCTGCAGCTTGTTTTAGCTGATGGCTTAGAAGTTTGCCGGCTCGTTCCCCATGCTCGTAGACTTCTTGGCGAGATTTAAGGTGAAGCTCCTCAGCTACTCCAGATGAGAGAGCATCGAATTCTGTTAGCAATCCTATTCTCTCTTTACAGAGATCCGCAGATGGAGCTTCAGAATTCTTATGATCAACATCCTTTATCAAAGCGATCAACTCATTAAGYCGTGCTGACCGTCTTCTGTTCATGCTTACAMTATAAGATATTATCTGACCACGCAAATATGCTTTCATTGCTTCCCACAGGTTAGAGTGGCTTGTGTCTGGTGATTGATTTGTTTCTAGAAAGAAGTCAATTTGGGCGGATAGGAAGTTAACAAAATCTTCGTCAGACAACAGACGTGGGTTAAGTCTCCAGGTGCGTTGTGGAGGCTCGTTATCTGGAAAGCAAAGCACCATTGTTACTGGGCTATGGTCAGAGATAACGAT